GATTGTCATCGAATGCGATCGTGATTCGAATCCATCGGTTCTCGACGAGTGGAAAAATTCTGATGATCTAGATTTCTGTTCAATTGTACAAAATTCTGACGAAATTTGTCCAAGACGAGAATATTTAAAAGGGTACACTATCGCGATTTGAAACGTGATTTAATTTTCAATCGCTGGAGAGAAAGAGAAAGAGAGAAAGAGAGAGAGAGAGAGAGAGAGAGAGAGAGAGAGAGAGAGGGAGAGAGAGAGAAAGAAAAAGAGAATGCACAAAGATGCTGCTAAAGCATTATACGTATGTGCAAGAGGTTACACCCTCGAGAGTTAAAACAAAAGCGATTTATAATATCAAACGCAAACATCTTGAAACGCGTGACGATCTGAATTTTAACTATACGTGTGTATCCCTGCATCTCGTCGGCGGTGAAACATTCGAAATTACGAGTATACGTTTGCAGAATAAATTATGGCAAGAAAGCAATTCGCTCGTTCAGACGACATTTTCGAAGTTACGCGAAAGGATAACCGAGCGAAGCAGCAATCGGCGGGAAACTTCGTTTATTCACGTCTTAAAGGAAACGAGATAAGCCATGCTCGAAGATCGTACCTTACGATTTAGCACGTTCGAATCGGAACGATTAGAAGCGTGCGCGCGCGAAAGACAAGCGTTCTCGAGACAAGAGTTGCATTTTACCGCGAAAGATTAAGTTAATCCGTTCACGTCCATAGTATTGCGATTATGAATCACTTTCATGATTAGGTAAAAGAAAAGAAAAAGAAGAGAAACGTTGTTGTAAAAACGAAGAACGAGGCGTGAAAAAATTGATGATGATTAAAGATCGCCGAGGACCCGCGGCGTTCTTGGAGACGCGCCAGGAATTACGATATTTTCACGTCACGACAATGAATTATGACCGTGAAACATTATTTACGCAGCCGCGAGTATTCCCGTACAAAGAGCACGCTGTATACGCGACGACAGAGTTACACACCCCTTGTAAGCCAATTACGATGAGCGCGCGTTAAAATGATTTCAAGATTCTCGCATACTCGCATTAAATGGCACGAATTAAAACGACCTTCTCTCTAATGTACACATCGCTCAGCGTTTCTCAACCTTTCCCCTATCTCGGAGGAAAAGTAAACGCGATTTTCTTGGCGAATACGTCAAAACCGATCCTTGACTGCTTGTTCTAGAAGAGACAACAGTCTACCGTTTGACTGCAAAATATATGATCAAACTTCTTGAGAAAAATGTTCGGTATTTGTGACGTAACTATGGTTAGGAGAGATCCAATTTTTTAGTTATTATTATTATTATAATTATATTTTTATTTTTATATACTAAATAAATATATAATTGGGAACAAAAATGACTATAAATCATAGTATTTGTGATTATAATTGCATGGTAAAATAATTATGAATAACAAGTCCCATTATTTTAGTTATTATTGCTGTAATATTAGTAATAATAGTTATATTTATAGTTCTATATACAAAAAATATCTGATTGACACTAAAAATGATAATAAATTATACTATATATTATGTATTACAATATTTGTGATTATAATTGCATGATAAAATAATTATGGTTAGAAATTTCATTTTTACCCACGCAGGACAACAAATCATTGTGATATCAAAATGATGTCAAAATGATCATTAAAAGTCATTTTTCAATCATTTC